GGCCGCTTCTATTTCCTAGTGTGAATGGGGGAAGCCCAGGGTAAGGAAGTGGAAAGTGGCCGATACCTCTGGCAGCAAGTCCTGCTCATGTAGTCAAAGCTTCTCCCTCTTGACTCCCCTTCCATTCTTCAGACAGTAGTTCAGGATGATGAATGCAGCCGAGTCCAGCTCTGCTCTGTGGCATTTAGGACAGTGGAGATGAGACACGGCTCCCGAGGGCTCAGACGTTAGATACACAATGCAACACTTTCAACCTGCACCTCTCTGATCGCGAAGCCCTCACGTTCCATAACACCACGAAACTGACATGTTTGAGCCCTTATCTCCCGATGACAGTTTACGCGGTGTCTTTAGCCGATTCCCAATCTAACATGTATCCAGTTTGCGTCGCCCTTGAGAAAGAGCCGGATGCAAGGGCAGCGCTGGGAATAACAGCGGTGCTGCTCCCGTCAGGGCTGACCGTGCCGGGATGTTTCTGTCTGAGCTGCAGGTGGATTTTTCCTTGGTCACGCTGAACACGGGGAACTTCAAGTCCTTTTTTCCCTGAGGGGTTGGTTTTGTAACCTTTTTTCCCTGTGTTAAACTATTACTTAATTCTAAAGTCTGGTTTGATTCTGCCCACTGACCATAGGCATGGCCACTCCCTAACCCCCCGGTCCCTAAATTACTTGGTGGGACTCTGCTAATCCATGTACTGTGACTCTTACTGTGTCCTGCTCTTAATGCAATCTATTTTTTTCTTCTTTTTAATCCTCACTTAAGAATATTCTTCTCTTTATCTTCAGACAGTGGGAGGTAGAGAGAGAGAGAGAGAGAGAGAGAGAGAGAGAGAGAGAAACACTGATGTGAGAGGGACACACCAACTGGTTGCTTCCCGCACAACCCCAACCAGGGCCAGGACGAACTGCAACTGAGGTACGTGCCCTTGTCGGGAATCGAACCTGCGACTCATTGGTCCGCGGCCGACACTCTACCGCTGAGCCAAACCGGCCAGGGTTTAATGTAGGTCGTGTTAACAATGCCCCTGACCCAGGCTCTAACCCTTGAAACCCTGTGGGTTAAAATGGAGCCAGAACCATGCAGAGCTGACACCTGCTGAATGGTCCCATTTCCTAGGCCCTTTCTGTACCCACGTGGGGAGGAGGGCCCACAGGGAATAGAACCAAGTCCTCAAGCCTTGTGACCCACCCTGCCCCCTTCACCAGGTCTGGGATTGGACCTTTTACGGCAGTAGCTTGGCCCAGTGCAGAGGGCCTAGGGGCCTTCCCTGAGGCCTTGAAATCTCTTTGAGGCTGAGCACTGCTCTGCTTTTATGCTGACTGCTGCAGACAACAAAAAGGCTTTCTTTCCTCCTGGGCTGCCAGACCTCAGAAAGGGCCTATTCACAGCCGCTTGCTGTTCCCTCCCTGGGGGTGGGGCAGCAAGGCCCAGGAAAGGCAAGAAAACCTGGGGCTGCTGCCCTCCTGTTCTGAGTACTCGTGGGGCTGGGGATGCAAAGGTTAAGCCCTGGGGATCTTGCAAAAGGACAGATTCCCTCTGGATTTATTTGAATAGATTTCTCCCAAGATACTGCCCGGAGAAAAGGAGCAAACAGAAATATTGATAGTTGACAACGGACTCCAAAGCACTGGTTCTCAGAAATCATTGCTAGCAAACTTCTGGAGTGCTTGCTAAAAATACAGATTCCTAGGCTCCACCCCCAGAAAATGTGATTCAGTTACTGTAAGTAGCCTGGACAGTGTGGCCCAGTTGACTGAGCGTCATCCCCTGCACCAAAGGTCTCCTGTTTGATTCCGGGTCAGGGCACATGCCTGGGTTGTAGTCTCAATCCCCAGTAGGGGGCGTGCAGGAGCAGCCAATCGATGATTCTCTCATCGATGTTTCTGTCTCTCCCTCTCCCTTCTTTTCTCTATAAAACCAATAAAAACATATTTTAAAAAAATAACTATAATTAATGTCTGGATGTGCATTATAAACAGGCCTAGGGGCACATTTTGCTCCAAATCCTAAGAGAAAAAATGCTTCTCCCCAGGCTCCCCACCCCCGAGGCTGGGCTCAGTCAATATGGTCACAGCACCAAACATCCTATATATAGCAGAGACTCTATAATCCTCAACTTGCGGCTCTCGCAGCTCCCGGGAAAGTTCCTGGCACATCACAGACAAGTTAGATTACATCAGGCTAAGTGGAGCCCTCGAGTGCAGGGCGTATTTCTTAGAGCTCCAGATTTCCCGGCAAGATGAGGAGGGGTCACAGTGAGGGAGAAGGCGAAGTCCAGCTGCAATGTGGAAATTTACACTGTTCAAATCGGGCTGCTGGCCGCATGGAGGGCTCCTGACAACGCTTGTTATTCTGAAGGTCCTCCAGTTCAGGTTTGTCTGCATGTGCTGGAAAGAGTTCTGGACCGAGGCTCAGCAGACAGGTTCTGTGAGCTACTCATGAGCCTACCTTTACGGGCTTGGCCCCAGAACCCGCGAAGTTTCTTTGATCTGACTTTCTAAGGTTCTTCAGCCCCTGCAGCTTGCTTCTGGTCTTCATCCTCAAGTATGAATGCTTGGGCAGGCCCAGGGTGAATTCTTCCACTCACGGTTTGCCCGGTATAATTAGAACAGTACCTGGCACACTGTAGGTGTCCATTAAATACTCAGTGCATAAATGAATAAACAGCCCTGGCTGGTTTGGCTCAGCGGTTGGAGCCTCAGCCTGTGGTCTGGAGAGACCTGGGTTCGGTTCCCACGAGGAGCACGTACCTCGGTTGCAGTTTGTCCCTGGCCCTGGTTGGGTCATGTGGGTAGCGATCACTCCATGTGTCTCTTTCACATCCATGTTTCTCTCTCTCTTTCTCCCTCCTACTCTATCTGAACAAAATATCAAAAAATGTCCTAGGGTGAGGATAAAAAAAAAAAAAAAAGAATAAATAGTTATAATTGGTCATAAGGTAAAATAGTCCTCATTGGAACAGTGCCCATGTGGTAAGGCTTCATCAGAGGGTCTGACAACTTCAGAGGTGGCCACAGTACATCTCTTTTCCTTTAAACACATATATGTTATCATGGAAAGTTGTGTACATTGTAGAAAAGTAAAAACTACCCACAATACAGCGATTTTTCTTTGTGTGTGTGGGGGGGGTACTTTTCTATTAAAAGATAATCATTCAAGTTTTTATGCATTTTTCAACATTTTCTATGATGTCTATATATTTGGAAACCATACTGTTTATATAGTATTATATTGTTAATTCTCTACTTACATATCCCTTAAAGTCTTAGTCATCATTTTTCTTTTAATCCTCACTCCAGGATATTTTCCCATATATCTTCAGATAGAGTGGGAGGGAGGGAGGGAAGGAGAGAGAAACATTGATGTGAGAAAGACACATCAATTGGTTGCCTCCAGCACCACCCCGACCAGGGCCAGGACTGAACAGGGGCCCTTGATCAAAACTGAATCCACAAGTCTTGTATCCACAGGCCACGACTCCAACCGCTGAGCCAAACCGCCAGGGCTTAAGTTTTTTTGTTTTTTTTTAACGTTTTTATTGATTTTAGAGAGAGAGGAAAGGAGAGACAGAAATCCAGATCGGCTGCCTCTTGCATGCCCCCTACTGGAGATTAAGTGCGAAACCGGGGCATGTGCCCTGACCATTAATTGAACCATCGACCTTTGGTGCAGGGTACAATGCTCAACCAAGTGAGCCACACAGCCGGGCTTAGACGTCATTTTTTATGGCCTCATGATCATCGTGCCTTTAACCACTCCCTCCTTAAGGACATTTAAGCTGCTTCCTTTATGCTTTATATGATCACTATCACAATAAGATAGCTGCCCACAGATTTTGCTCCCTATTTCCTCAGGACAGAGTCCCAGAAATGGAACGACCGGGTCAAAGAGTACAAAGCTCTTCAAGCTTCTTGGAACACAGGGCCAAAATAGTTTGCAGAAAAGTTTTCACCCATTGACACTGAAAACCAGTATCTTGCCACGAGCTTTGCAGAGACGAGGAGGAGGCCGGGCAAACGGAGGCATCCCTGAGCTGGCGGCCCCGCAGGGGGTGAGCGTGCACGGGGCTCCGACCCCCCGCAGTTCTGCCCATCCCCCCAGGCCCCCAGCCCCCACCCCAGCCCCGCTGGCAGGGCGGCCGTCCTGTTCCCTACTGCGCTGAGTTCGTCATTTCTTAAGGTCCAGGGGGGAAGTGGCCCGGGGTGGGGGGTGTTAGTGGTCATGGCAGTGGGCGTGGGCGTGGGGGACCCCACCCCTAAGTCTGAGCGAAGAGAATTTGTCAACAAGAACCCAGCGCTTGGAGAGCCTTCACGGAAACGTCCGGCGGCCCAAAGCGAGCTTCCAGGGAGGGGCAAGAACCACCGCCCAGGCGGCAGCGCCGAAGAGACCCGAGGCGTCCAGCGGGCAGCTGCGGCCCCTTTAAGGGCCAATCCGGAACCTGGCCCTTTAAATCTGTGTCCGTTTCCCCTGACGTCAGCCGGCGGGCCCGCCGCCCGGCTGTTTACCGCTTCGCGGCGCCGCACACGGTCCCAGTTCCGGTGCCGCCGCACCTGCCAGCGCTTAAAGGGCCCGCGCGCCGGACGCCGCGGGGCCGCGCGGCGTGGGTGTCCGCCGGCGCCCCGACTCCCCTCCCCGCGCGGCGCCCCGCCGCCGGCTCCCTTCCGGCCCCTCCGCTCTCCGGCGTCTCCGGCGTCTCCGGCGTCTCGGGCTCCCAGCAACCAGCCGGCCCCTCGCGCCCGTCCGGCCGGGCGGCCGGGGCTCCCCGAGCCGCGCTCAGCCCCCCGCGCCCCGCGCTCCGCGGCCGGCCCCGCGCCCCCGCCCCGCCCCGCCCGCGCCCGGCAGCGTGTCCGTGGCCCCGGGGAGGGACGTCTCCTAATCTCAGGCCGGGGTTAAAGTTCTGGTCCTGGTGCGATGGTGGAAGCGGCGGCCGGAGCCGCAGCCTGTCCCGCCGCCGTCCCGCCGCCCGCCGCCCGCGCCGCCGCGCCCGCCCTGCCGGGGCCATGCTCGCCCCGGCCCTGCCCTGCCTGGCGCTGCTGCTGGCCGCCGCCCGCGGCCGCCCGGGGCTGCTGGGGCCCAAGGCCGTGTCGCAGAGGGACGCCGAGTTCGAGCGCGCCTACGTGGACGAGGTCAACAGCGAGCTGGTCAACATCTACACCTTCAACCACACCGTCACCCGCAACCGGGTGAGCGCGCCCGCTTCCGCCGCCGTGCCCGGCCGGCGGGCCTGCCCCGGCCCGGCCCGGCTCAGCCCCTGCCCACCGAACCGCCCTGCCGGGCCGGAACGCGAACCTGGTAGCGTGGGTCTCGGAGAGGGGAAGCAGCTCGCCCCCGGCCCGGCCCGGCTCAGCCTCTGCCCACCGAACCGCCCTGCCGGGCCGGAACCCGAACCTGGTAGCGTGGGTCTCGGAGAGGGGAAGCAGCTCGCCCCCGGCCCGGCCCGGCTTAGCCCCTGCCCACCGAACCGCCCTGCCGGGCCGGAACCCGAACCTGGTAGCGTGGGTCTCGGAGAGGGGAAGCAGCTCGCTCCCGGCCCGGCCCGGCCCGGCCCGCCCCAGGGGCTGAGCCGGGCCCACCGAACGCCCTGCCGGGCCCGAGTTAGAGCGGAGCCGCGGGGAGCCGCGGGGAACCCCCAGCCCTTCTCCCAGGCAGCCAGCTGGCCTTGTCAACTGTGGGTGTACGGAGCAGGCCGGCCCCAGACGGGGTGGGAAGAGAGGGGTTTGTCTGCCGGGGAGAAGACCCTTCACCCCGACTTCACTTTCGTTTCTTCCCGGCCCGAGTGGAGCGCGGGCGCAGCTGGGTCTGCAAGTCTGGAGCTGCAAGCTGGCGAGGTCGTGCTGCCGGGCTGTGGTCAGCCGGCCAGTTCGCCTTGGCTTCGTTTACTGAGCAGCAGTGGCCTTGACAATGGGAATCTGGGTTGTTTTTCAGCGTGGGGAGGGATTTGGTGTCTATGACAGGCCAGCATCTGCCTCCAGGGCCCGGGTCAGTGAAGCTGGATCTGGTGTTTGGAGCCCTTGCTCCCCCCACCCCTGTATCTGGGTTACCCCGAGAGCTGTGGCCTGTCTCTTAGAAATGCTGCCCCAGGGCTCGGGTTTCAGCAGCCCAACAACAAGATGCACAGGATTTATTTTGTTTTATTTTTTTCCTTCAACTCCTGCTGTCCTATATACTTTCCAGTGTAGTGCCAGGAGGGAGTGTCTCCATGCTATAGAGGAGGAAATTGAGGCTCAGAGTTGTGAAGTGACTTCTCCACAGCCCTCGCCCTTGGCCAGAGCTAGGGGTACAATTTAGCTTTCTTGGCTCACAGTCCCTGAGTGTCCACCCTCCCCGCCCCCCATTTGCTGGTTAGTTGAATAGCAGCTTCTGGCTCATCAGGAAGAAAGTTGAGCATTTCTCGCTCCCCTGTGCCCGCGTGTGTACGTGCACATGTGTGCAAGCATGTGCATCTCATGAGCGTGGACAGGAATGTGAGGTCCGGATGCCCAGGGTCTCCGTTGCTTCCTGCTGGGAAGGGAGGCCCTGCCGTTGCCTGGGCCCTGGTGCCCTCTGGTGCCTGGTGCCTGCCGGCCAGGAGTCACCGCCTCCCACAAGCCTCTCCTCCGGCAGCACCAGTCCCCCGGGGGCAGAGGCAGAGTCACCATGGACCTGGCTGAGGGCATCTCCGTCTCATTCTACAGACAGAAGGCGTGCGTGTGTCCGTGAACGTCCTGAACAAGCAGAAGGGGGCTCCTTTGCTGTTCGTGGTCCGCCAGAAGGAGGCTGTGGTGTCCTTCCAGGTGCCCCTAATCCTGCGAGGGCTGTGAGTAGGACCTGGGGTCAGGGAGGGGGAGGCCCAGGTCAGGCCTTGCCCAGAGCCTCACCCAGGTCCTTTTCTGGGGCCTCAAACCAGCCAGGAGCCCCTCTGCTGTCTTCCCCATCCCCAGACAAGGAGGCTGGTCAGTGGCGTGAGGGCCAAGCCAGCCAGCTGCGTCTGTCAGCCCAGTAGGGGTAGAGGTGGCGGGTGGTGGAGAGCCAGAGCGGAGGAGCTGGGGCCTTGCTCCTCTGGAGTGACGTGCTGGTTGGGACAGTAGTCACGTCCCGACTCTCTGCTTCGGGCCGTAGGTTTCAGCGCAAGTACCTCTACCAAAAGGTGGAGCGGACGCTGTGCCAGCCCCCCACCAAGAATGAGTCCGAGGTCCAATTCTTCTACGTGGACGTGTCCACCTTGTCACCAGTCAACACCACGTACCAGCTCCAGGTCAGCCGAATGGACGACTTCGTACTCAGGTCCGCAAGGGAGAGCGAGGGCACCCTGGGCCCGGCCCCTCCCATCGCTCTGAGAGTGACCTGAGGCTCTTCTCTGCCCTGCAGGACCGGGGAGCCCTTCAGCTTTAACACCACAGCAGCCCAGCCTCAGGTAAGGTGGCCTGTGGACCCCCTCGGAGAATAAAGGGGGAGCTTGACCAGGAGCGGGAGCGGCGGGCGGTCTTTGCTGGGGCCTCACGTTGCGCGGCTGTCCTTGGAGGGCCCTGGAGCCGCGGCTGTGGCCCCGGGGGGAACGGCGAGAGCAGGGCAAATGCAGTGACGGGATCTGGCTGCCCTCTTCCCCGCTTGCCGCTTGGGCTCTGTCCTGAGTACCCAGCTGCGGTCAGAGGAGTGGGGTACAGAAAAGGGGCTGCTTATAGTCCAGGCCTTTCTCCCCTGAGCGCCTCGGTGCCCAACCCCAAGCGAATTCACACGTCCTCTAGAGAGGCAGAGAGGGCAGCCTCGCGAGACGGCTCTCCCTCTGCCCTCAGTACTTCAAGTACGAGTTCCCGGAAGGAGTGGACTCGGTGATCGTCAAGGTGACCTCCACCAAGGCCTTCCCCTGCTCCGTCATCTCCATCCAGGACGTGCTGGTGAGCGGCCTGCCCTTTCCCTGTCTACCGGTAGGCAGGGCTGCCGAGCAGAGGGGCCGGCCAGGGCCCTGCATCTGCTCTCTCCCTCCTCCTCCAGTGCCCTGTCTATGACCTGGACAACAACGTAGCCTTCATCGGCATGTACCAGACGATGACCAAGAAGGCAGCCATCACTGTGCAGGTAGGAGGCGCAGGTGGGCCTTGGGAGGCGAGGCTCCTGGTCAGCTTGCCACACCCCTGCTCCTGTCCCCTTGGCCCGTCCTCTGCTGCCTGCAGGGCTGAGGCTTGGCCCGTTAGTCCCTGAGACTTTGTGTCCCCTGATACTGTGTGAACATTGAATCATAATCCTAGTCGCCTTTGGGGACAGGAAAGAGCAGCAACCCCTACTGGCTGTCGTAGCTACTTCACTCAGTAATGGTAACGAGGAGAGGAGGGGCCCTCGCCGAGGCTGAGCCCTGTGCTGGGACAGGGAGGGTGCGGCCACGTGTTCAGCTCACAGCGTTGTCTTGCGGCTGATGGAGGCCAGGCGGGTTTTGTGATGGTGGGGCACGCACACATTCGCTCGCCTGGTGTAGTGCAGGTTCAGGCTTTGGGCTCTAGCTTCCTGGCAGTGAGCCCGTTACTTCTGAGCCCGTCCAGCAGGGATAATGACAACGCTGCCTCACAGGGGTCTTCAGGAGGATTAAGAGAATGTGTAAGAGAGGTTAGCACAGTTTCTGGCCCAAAGTAGGGGTTCAGAAAAGGATGGTGATGATGAGGACAGTTGATGATGTGATGACGACGATGATAATGTCATCACCACCATCATCATCATTCTGCAGCGCAAAGACTTCCCAAGCAACAGCTTCTACGTGGTGGTGGTGGTGAAGACAGAAGACCAGGCCTGTGGGGGTTCCTTGCCTTTCTACCCCTTCGTAGAAGGTAACTGTGTGCCCCTGGACTGGCTGGGGGGGTAGTCGAAGAGCCTGCATGACTGATTGGTGGACATGGCGGGATACTGATTTTGGTCCCAGACTCTCCCAGGGCGGGTCCCACCAACTCTAGCTAAGCTTCAGGCAGCCCTTTGTTTGCCAGCTCAACATTCTTCTTCCAGATGAACCGGTCGACCAAGGGCACCGCCAGAAAACCCTGTCGGTACTGGTGTCTGAAGCCGTCACCTGTGAGTGTGGGTGCTGAGGGGGTGACTGGCCCCTGGCGCTTCCTCTCCGGCCTGGGGAGCCAGGCTGGTGGGGTGGGGAGCAGGCAGTGTTCTCGGGAGGCTCCCAACCGGAGGGCCCGGAAGTGAGTCCCAATGTAACGTGGAGCAGAGTCCCTGTCTAAAGAGTCGGGGACCGAGTTCTAGTTCTGTCTGCGCCCTCAGCAGCAGTGCAGTCTCACTGAGCCTCAGTTTCCCTGTGACAGGGACCACGGGGTCTGTCCCCTCAGTCTCACTAAGTGTGAAGTTCAGTGCAACATTGGTAGGAAAGCGCAGGCCCCTTAGTCATGCTCCGTAAATACCTGCCGAGCGGTGAATGGGCCTGGTGAACCGGGAATATCAATGAAAACGAGAGACGGCGGCAGGAAAGCAGCAGCAGCCTCTCCCGCGCAGAGCTCCGCTCAGGTGCAGGTGCTCCGTCCCGCTGCAGTCCTGCGGGCGAGCCCGTCTGGAGCGCGGGCCTGCTGCTGCACAGGGTGCCCGGCAGTGACGAGCAGAGGTGCTCCGCTCAGGTGCAGGTGCTCCGTCCCGCTGCAGTCCTGCGGGGGAGCCCGTCTGGAGCGCGGGCCTGCTGCTGCACAGGGTGCCCGGCAGTGACGAGCAGAGGTGCTCCGCTCAGGTGCAGGTGCTCCGTCCCGCTGCAGTCCTGCGGGGGAGCCCGTCTGGAGCGCGGGCCTGCTGCTGCACAGGGTGCCCGGCAGTGACGAGCAGAGGTGCTCCGCTCAGGTGCAGGTGCTCCGTCCCGCTGCAGTCCTGCGGGGGAGCCCGTCTGGAGCGCGGGCCTGCTGCTGCACAGGGTGCCCGGCAGGTGACGAGCAGAGGTGCTCCGCTCAGGTGCAGGTGCTCCGTCCCGCTGCAGCCCTGCGGGGGAGCCCGTCTGGAGCGCGGGCCTGCTGCTGCACAGGGTGCCCGGCAGTGACGAGCAGAGGTGCTCCGCTCAGGTGCAGGTGCTCCGTCCCGCTGCAGCCCTGCGGGGGAGCCCGTCTGGAGCGCGGGCCTGCTGCTGCACAGGGTGCCCGGCAGTGACGAGCGGAGGTGCTCCGCTCAGGTGCAGGTGCTCCGTCCCGCTGCAGTCCTGCGGGCGTGCCCGTCTGGAGCGCGGGCCTGCTGCTGCACAGGGTGCCCGGCAGTGACGAGCGGAGGACAGTCACTGGGCACGCAGGACACAGACCCCTCAAGGACGCAGCCCCTGGGCTGTGCTTTGGAGTTAAGTAAAGGTGTTTATGAGGAAGGAGCGGAGGAGAAAGTCCTGGCGGAGGGAGCGACCTGAGCAGACAGGCACCACGTCCGCGGTGGGCGTGTCTGGGGAACGGCCCGTGGTTCCCACCGGCTGGGTCACTGCATTTGAGGGGAGAAGTGTGAGAGGTTCTGCTGGGCCCCGAGTGCCGTGATTGGTGTGCTCAACTTCTGCTTCCTTCCCAACAGCTGAAGCCTACGTGGGGGGGATGCTCTTTTGCTTGGGCATATTTCTGTCCTTCTACCTGCTGACCATCCTCCTGGCCTGCTGGGAGAACTGGAGGTAAAGTGGAGCCACGGGGCCTCCTCTGTCCGGTGTGCTGAGGGGGTGTGGAGAGGTGATCGGGCAGGGTCTGACCAGTCCAGGGTAAGCTTCCACCGTGGTCCAGGGGCCTCTGCTCTGGAGAACAACCTGCTTTCCGAGCAGGGAGACCCCATTGCTTCCCAGCCCGGAAGAACCAGAGAATCATGGATGAAGGACAGGGTTGGGGTGGCCAGGGCGGAAAGCAGGCCAGCCCACATAGGGGGATCCTCGCCCAGCCCCTCTGTCTGCCTCTGGTTCTGTCCCTGCAGGCAGAGGCGGAAGACCCTTCTGCTGGCGGTGGACCGCGCCTGCCCGGAAAGCGGTACCTGCCGAGGGCCTGGGGGGAGGGCAGAGTGTGCTCTGTGTTTTGGAGGGGACAGCGGTGGGTGGTTCCCTCGGGTTGGAGGAGGCTGCCTGGGGGCTTCTGGTATTCAGGCTGGGAGTCACCCTGTTGGCATGGGCTGGGGTGCTGCGCCTGTTCATCCCTAACGTGCTCGTCTGAAAGCCACGTTGACTCGTTCTCCGGGTCTGGCGGTTGTTTGTGTGCCTCAGACAAGGGACTCAGCCTCGGAGTGTTAACCTTCCGTTCTCTCTTCCTTTCTTCCGCCTCTCTCTCTCTCTGTCCTCCCTCCTGCTTGGGACCTTCTCTCTCAGCTTCTCTCCTTGGTAAGCTCAGGTGCTGTGGGCAGAGGAGCGGAGCCGGGGGGGACGGGAAGCGCCAGGGTTTCTGGTGGGGCCCGGGAGGCCCGTGCCGGCTGTCCTTGCTGCTGGCAGTGCAGAGTGCCCGTTCCTTGATACTCCTCTCTCCTTGGGGGACAGAGGGTGGCGAGGGTTCCCACTGGGGACGCAGGTGGGAGGGAGGTCGGTGGGGGGGGGCTGGGCTGGGTCGGTGCTCATTCTTCGCTGCTGCCGTGGCCCCGTGTCTTGTCTCCTCTTCCTGCTCTCCTCCCTGGCTCTGGCCTCTCTGCTTCCAGGGCTGAGGGACCTGATGCCTCGTTGCAGGTCACCCTCGGGTCCTGGCCAACTCCTTCCCCGGCAGCTCCCCTTACGAGGAGTACAACTACGGCTCCTTTGGTACGTGTCCGTGCCAGAGGTTGTGCGGCCCACTCACACCCCGGTCCCCTGAGGCTGCCCCCTCCAGCGTGGCACAGGGGCGGCCCCCTCCTTGGAGCCCTTGGGGCCGGGCCCACCCCCGGGGTCTGTTCTCACCGGCTACCGCTCTGCAGAGAACTGCTCCGGATCCACTGAGGGCCTGGTGGACAGCATGGACACGGCGGACCTCTCCTACAGCTGCCAGGGTGAGCGGCGGGGCCGGTTCTGGCTGGGTGGGGCCTGACGGTGGGCGGTTGCCTCTTCTGCCAGACGCTGGGACAGGGACGGGCCTGCTGTTTCCCACCCCCTCCTCCCTCGGCCTTTCCTCCTTGGCTCCACTTCCCTGGTAACTTTCCCTTTCCTTTGAAGGGCACGACCAGTTCAAGCGGCGCCTTCCCTTTGGCCAGATGCGGCAGCTGTGCATTGCCATGGGTAGACGTTGGGGGGGCTGCTCCCCAATCGGCTCCTGCCGGGCGCTGACTGGAGCCCAGGCTCTGGGCTTTGTGCATGGCTTCCCCTCGAACGCTGATATTGTCAGCTCCTGTGTCTGCGATGAGCAGGCACTGGTGGGCCGGCACCCTCACTCCCTGGCCTTCGGGTCAGGGCTTGTGGGAGGGGCGTCATGAGCTGGCCTTGGGGCTTTGCTCAGGCAGGGCCACAGGAGGGAGCCGCCCCAGGCACAAGGAGAGAACAGGCTGGAGCAGCCAGTGCTCTCCTGGGGCAGCCCCTGCCCCGCCCGCCCGAGGGCCGCTGTCTGCACCAGTGTCTTCTCGGAGCCCGCACAGCCACGCACCTTCTAATCAGCATGACTCTGCCAGATTCAGTCCCGCTGCTGCCTGGGCCTGGGGTCTGCTCAGCGTCCTGGCCCGGAAGCCTTAGCCGTGACAGGCAGGGCTGGAGCAGGCCGTTCGGTGACCTCTGCAGAGCCGACCTGGTCCCCCCAGGACTCAGGAGTATTTGGAGCCTCCCCCAGGGCCTGAGCCCACCTCCACCCCTGCTCTGAGCCCAGTTTGCCTCTTCCCACTGCCTAGTAATTGTGACAATTGCCGCAGATGGGTGGAGACCAACCTCCAGCTCCGTGTGCACTGGGAAACCCTCCCCTGCTCTCTGCAGACCGTCCCCTGGACCCTGTGGGCACGCGGCCGCGACTGGACTCCATGAGCTCTGTGGAGGAGGACGACTACGACACGCTGACTGACATCGAATCCGACAAGAACGTCATTCGCACCAAGGTCTGACCCCATGTGGTGGGCCCTGTCGGGGGCTCCCCCAGGCAGGAGAGTCTGTTCAGGCCCCAGGATCTCTCCCTCGGGGTAGGAAGGGGTTCAGCTGGGGCAGGACAGGGAAGCAGCTGCTTGGCCGTGGCAAGGACTGCCGGGAACCCCGCCCGCCCCGTCTGGCCCCTCTGTGCTTCTCGCCTGGGCAGGAGGGGCCTCTGCCCGGTGGGGGGACAGGGGCTTATTCCAGCTTCTCCCCAGCAATACCTCTGTGTGGCCGACCTGGCGCGCAAGGACAAACGCGTCCTGCGGAAGAAGTACCAGATCTACTTCTGGTGAGTGGACGGGGCGAGTGGGCTTCCTGGTAGGCGGGGTGGGTGGCCTTGTCCGGGGTCCTTGCACCTCACTGCTGTGCTCCGACGCCGTAGGAACATCGCCACCATCGCCGTCTTCTACGCGCTCCCTGTGGTGCAGCTGGTGATCACCTACCAGACGGTGAGGGGGGGCGGGCTCCCCGGCGCGGTCTGGGGTCCCGCCTCCCGTGCAGAGCCTTCCAGCCTGGGGCTCTGGAGCAAGCACAGGTCTTGGGTCACCGAAACTGAGTTCAAATCCCAACCTTTACCAGCTGGGTGGCCTTGAGCAAATCACTCAACCTCCCTGAGCATCAGTCTATTCATCTGCTGAATGGGGACAGCACCATCCCAGTGACGGCCCTTCTCTGGGTTGTTGCAGGAATTCATAAAGTGCAAGTCCTGGGACTTTGTTTTATGTGGGGTTTTTTTTATCTTCACTCGAGGACATTTTTCCATTTTTTGTTCAGATAGAGTAGGAGGGAGGGAGAGAGAGAGAAACATCGACGTGAAAGGGACACATGGAGTGGCTGCCTCCCACACGACCCAACTAGGGCCGGGGACAAACTGCAACCGAGGCACGCACCCTTAGCGGGAACCGAACCCGGGTCTCTCTGGTCCGCAGGCCAGCGCTCTAACCGCTGAGCCAAACCGGCCAGGGCCGGGGACTTTGTCAGTCTCAGTTTCTTTTCCCTTTTCTCTGTTCCGGGGTAAGAGCTCCAGTTATGGTCACACCCACAGAGGTGACAGGACGGGGCAAAAGGAGGACTGGCGGGGGTGCACGTGCTCACACGTGCTGGCTGTGGCGGCGCCGCCTGCCCAGGGCAGAGGGCGCAGGGTGGCGTGGCCTGGCCAGGCCTGGCTCTCCCTCACAGGGCGGAGGGCTGAGCTGGCTCTTCAGCAGCCCCCCTGCCCTGTCCCTGCTGCAGGTGGTGAATGTCACAGGGAATCAAGACATCTGCTACTATAACTTCCTCTGTGCCCACCCACTGGGCAACCTCAGGTAAGGACCTGGGTGGCCACTCCCCGGACACACGGTGGAAGGGTGAACCTGGGAAGGGCAGGGCTCTGCAGGGATGCGGCTGAGCCGTGTGCTGTGTCGCCCCGTCTAGCGCTTTCAACAACATCCTCAGCAACCTGGGGTACATCCTGCTGGGGCTGCTCTTCTTGCTCATCATCCTGCAGCGGGAGATCAACCACAACCGGGCCCTGATGCGCAACGACCTCTATGCCCTGGTGCGGAGCCGGTGCCCACTGGCGCCTCAGCTCGGAGTCTCTGTCAGCGGGGCCAGCCTGCTCGCCCTCCCCACCCTGCACACCCACTCTGCCCTCAGCCTGCCCCTCACGCTCTGGCGGCCCCTTCCTGCCTCACCAGCGCTCCCTTCCCAGCAGGAGTGCGGGATCCCCAAGCACTTCGGCCTGTTCTACGCCATGGGCACGGCCCTCATGATGGAGGGCCTGCTGAGCGCCTGCTACCACGTCTGCCCCAACTACACCAACTTCCAGTTCGGTGAGCAGGCCTCCCTCCCCCGCCGAACCTGGGCAGGCCCTGCCTGTCTTCCACCGGCCCCAGGTCACCACAGGGATCCCCGCAGCCATTCAGTGCCCTGTGCACCTGTATCCTGGCTCACGGAGAGTAGGCAGCTGGGTGCCCTCATCTATCTGTGCCCCCGTCCTCGGAGAGGCACGTGCAAGCCCCCAGGAAACGATCGTTAAGATGTGGTCCCCGCTCTCAGGGTGCTCAGACTAAGTCGTCCTGTCTGGCGAGGTCAGCCTGTGGGTGACAGTGGGTGGCGGCGTGGGATGGCAGGGACAGCTCGGGGCGGGAGGGCCAGTGCCAGCCCACCCAGCTCGCTCCTCCACTCTGGCTGTTGGAGCCTTGAGGCGTGGCGGCGCCGTGGCTCACGGCTGCGTCCCGCCCAGACACGTCCTTCATGTACATGATCGCCGGGCTCTGCATGCTGAAGCTCTACCAGAAGCGGCACCCCGACATCAACGCCAGCGCCTACAGCGCCTACGCCTGCCTGGCCGTGGTCATCTTCTTCTCTGTGCTGGGCGTGGTGAGGCCCTGTGAAGGGTGCACGCTGGGCACACCCCCCCACCTCCTGCGAGGGGTCCCTCCGCAGGCGCCTTCCCTGCCTTCGGGGCCTGGCCACAGCCCGCTCTGGAGGGAGGGGCGCACGCTGCGCACACCCCCCCACCTCCTGCGAGGGGTCCCTCCACAGGCGCCTTCCCTGCCCTCAGAGGCCTGGCCACAGCCCGCTCTGGAGGGAGGGGCGCACGCTGCGCACACACCCCCCACCTCCTGCGAGGGGTCCCTCCGCAGGCGCCTCCCCCGCCCTCACTGGCGCAGCCTGGCCGAGCCACAGCCCTCCCTCGCCTGGCAGGTGTTCGGCAAAGGGAACACGGTCTTCTGGATCGTCTTCTCCGTGATCCACATCATCGCCACCCTGCTCCTCAGCATCCAGCTCTATTACATGGGCCGCTGGAAGCTGGGTAAGCGCGTGCCCGGGCAGGGTGTGGGGGTGGCCTGCTGGGCCTTGTGGGGTGAGGGGCATGGAGCCTGGGGGTCTGGGGCACAGGGGACTTTTGGGTTCTGCCCTCCGGCTGGGGGCCCGGAGGAACACTGGGTGAGGATGAGGCCTGGGCACAGCCCTGGCTCCAGAGGTCCCGGCCCTCAGCCGGCAAACCAGGGGCCTGGGAGAGACGTGCCTTCTCCTCCTGCAGACTCGGGGATCTGCCGCCGCATCCTGCACGTGCTCTACACGGACTGCATCCGGCAGTGCAGCGGGCCCCTCTATGTGGTACCTGCCTGGCCCCAGCCCCCCATCTGCTCTCTTCCCGGGTGCGAGCCGACCGCCGGGGCTCCTCTCGTGTCCCCTCCCCCCCAGTCCCGTGTCTCTGCTTCCCCCTAGGACCGCATGGTGCTGCTGGTCATGGGCAACATTATCAACTGGTCGCTGTGAGTCTGGCCACTGTCTGTGGTAGCCTGGCTGGGTGGACAGCTGGAAACTTGGCCAGCCACTGGCTGCCTTGGGGGCCACGGACAAATCCTGAGCTTTGGCTATGAGCAGTGGGGTGCGACAAGAGAGGTGCTGGCTCCTGGGGCCCAGACTCCTGTGGGGCCCCGAGCCAGCCCCGCGCCAGGACGACGTGGAGGCGAGAGGCAGGCCCTGCCCGCCCGCCCGCCCACTTCACCAGCCCGCCCTCCCTCTTGCCAGGGCTGCCTACGGACTCATCATGCGCCCCAACGACTTCGCCTCCTACTTGCTGGCCATCGGCATCTGCAACCTGCTTCTGTACTTCGCCTTCTACATCATTATGAAGGTAGTGGGTGCCGGTCCTGCCGCCTGCTGCGCTGCCCCGCCGGGCAGCTCTAGGCAGCGAATTGCCCTGTCCACCCGTCTGTGCCCGGGAGGTTGGAGGAGGGAGAGGCTCACGTCCCCTGGGAACCAGTTGTATCCTAAGATCCACTTACTGAGCACCTTCCATAGTCTGAGAATGGCCCCTGAACCGGCAGCACCTCAGGCCACGGTTGGTAAGAGGCGCGTTCAGTGTAGAAGGGGTGGAGGTGGGCTCACAGTCTGGCAGGCTGGTGCCTCCAAGGGCTGGCATTTCCAAGGGACCCTCATGCGATCCTGTGAAAGAGCCCCCTGGCCAGTCCTCCCTGCCAGCCCAGCCAGGGCGGCCGTCAGCAGTGAGGACACCAGGCCACCATATGGGGGAAGGTTGAACTGTGGGGCTGTATGAGGCGATAGTATGAACTCAAGAAGGCTCCCGAAACCTGGGAAGGCGCCAGGAAGGCGGCGTCCAGGGCAGGCAGGAGGTGAGGTGGCGAGGCCTGGCCTCAGCTCTCCCCTCCCCACCCAGCTCCGAAGCGGGGAAAAGATCAAGCCTATCCCCCTGCTCTGCATCGCCTGCACCTCGGTGGTCTGGGGCTTCGCACTCTTCTTCTTCTTCCAGGGACTCAGCACCTGGCAGGTGAGCATCACCCTGCAGGGCGGGCGGCGTCACCCACAGGCTCCCCTTGCGCCAGCGCGCGACCCGTGGCCGGAGCTTGCACAGGAGCTCTCTCGCTGAGCCTCCTACCGCCCAGCTGCGGGCAGGGCCCCCTGCACTCGGGGCCGCTGAGGCTCAGGCGGCCAGGACACCTGCCAAGGACGCACAGTAGGAGTGGCGTGGCCGTGGGTTGAAGCCAGAGATGCCAGGCTCTGTTTTCTACCTCTTGGGGCACCTGGCATGGGTCAGGTTTCAGTCCTGTGATTCGAGCTGTCTGGCTGGGCTCTGCCTTTGGGATGCTTGCCCTCTAGTTCAAGAGGGACTGGTAGTGCCCGGCTTCTGTCGCAGTACCGCACACGAGCTGAAGCGCGAGGCAGGACGGGCCGGGGAGCACAGATGGCAGAGGACGAGGCCTCTGTGAGCGAGGAGGTCCGGGAAGACTGCCTGGAAGAGGCATGTCGTGTGCTTGGCCTCAGAGGCCCTGTGGCCCGGAGGTGCTGTGCCCTGTGTAATGGTAGAGGCAGACGTGGATGGGAAGGCGGGAGGGCATCTCTGGGACCTTGGCTGGTGGCCGTCGGCCCCAGACAGCGTGAGGCCCAGCCAGTGTCTGTTGGGTGGAAGTTAGGGGCCTGAGGGCCACAGGGCCTGGGCACTGCCAGCTTTCTTCCCAAGGCTGTGCCCTGAGACGGAAGTGGGCCTGGAGGGACCCGGGGGGCCTGACTAGAGCAGACGTGAGGCCCAAGTGGGGCTGAGTTAGGAGGCTGTGGCCTTCGGTGCCTCAGGGTCGTCCCAGCCCTCTGCTCGTAGACCAGGGAGAGTGTGAGCGGAGGAGGCCGGTGAGAAAGGACAGAACAACAGCCGGTTCTTAGATGTGGGAGAGGAGGGCGGAGGGCGGGGCAGAAAGCAAGTGCTGGCCGGCTGGGCTGGGGCCGAGGGACCCTGGGAGCGGGCGGGGCCAGGCCCCTCAGCTGGCAGCGCTGCCTGTCCCTGCCCAGAAAACGCCCGCCGAGTCCAGGGAGCACAACCGGGACTGCATCCTCCTGGGCTTCTTTGACGACCACGACATCTGGCACTTCCTGTCCTCCATCGCCATGTTCGGGTCATTCCTGGTACGATGGACTCTGGCCGAGCGCGGGGCGGAGTAGAGGCCCAGCTGCCCTTCCCTGGGCTTGACCTGGCACACACCCACAGGTGCTGCTGACACTGGACGACGACCTGGACACTGTGCAGCGGGACAAGATCTATGTCTTCTAGGGACCCGGCCACTGCTGCACACGGGCTGCACCCCTCTGCCTCCCGCTGCAGTCTGTCGCCCGGGGCGCGTCGCAGCCCCGCTGCAGTCTGTCGCCCGGGGCGCGTCCCAGCCCCGCTGCAGTCTGTCGCCCGGGGCGCGTCCCAGCCCCGCTGCAGTCTGTCGCCTGGGGGTGCGCGTCCCAGCCCCGCTGCAGTCTGTCGCCCGGGGCGCGTCCCAGCCCCGCTGCAGTCTGTCGCCTGGGGGTGCGCGTCCCAGCCCCGCTGCAGTCTGTCGCCCGGGGCGCGTCCCAGCCCTGCTGCAGTCTGTCGCCCAGGCGCGCATCTCGGTCCTGCTGCCCAGGGCCGGTGGCAGCCGGGCTCCGAGGCCTAGCCCAGGCTTGGTCCTGGACAGCTACGGGGTGGCCTCGGACCTTGCAGCTGCCCTCTGCCGGGGAGGAGGCCTGCTCCCCTGAAACCCCACGTGTGGCCGGATTGCTGCTTTCTTGTCAGTGTTGGGCCTTCCGTGGTCCCTGTCTCTGGCTCCCGTTCGTCCCTCTGCAGGAAAAAGAAAGTGTCACCCTGCCCATCTCACGCCTTGAATCCTACCTGTCCTCCCTCCCCAGCCGGGAGCCCAAAGCCTTCATTCCTCATCTGGGGCCTGAGTCTCTGGCCTGTCCTGGGCACTACTCTTTGGGGTTGTACCTGGCTGCCATCACTGCCCACTCTAGTCAGCCAGGATGGTTGGGGGTGTAGGACTGGGGGGACTGGCCAGTTGGTACCAGGCTTGTGGTGCTAAGCCCTGCACAGGGCCCTGGCTGGCTCACTGCAGTGAAGGTTAGCTCATATGTGAGAACTGCCTTTGATCTGAGGGCTGAACTCAGAGGTCACCTTCCGGTTCCATCAGCCCCAGACAGGCCAGCCCCAGACTTGGGGAGAAACGCAGTGCCCCTCCCTCCTTTGTCTTTCCAGGCCCTTGGTCCTGCCCGGCCCCGGCGGGGGTCTTTTAGTGCCATTGACGTTGCCCAGGATTGTCCAGGGGCAGAGGAGGGTACAGAGCCCGCCCTCCTGCCTCCTCCACTACCGCAGGAGCCCCAGTGCCTATCAGAGAAAGGGGCTCAAGAAAGGGACACATTTCCCTCTGTCCCTCATCCCAGCCTCGCTCTGTGACCCAGGGCTGCTTTTACGTGTCCGTCCAGTCTTCAGCCAAGTTCTGTGTGGGTCACACCTGTGCGTACATATGAACCCTTGGAGTTTACACTGAGTGGCCCCAGCTCTGGGACCCCTGGCTGCTCTGGTCCTGGGGTCTCCTTTGCCCTGCCTGGTCCATTCCCGATGCCAGGATTTGGGGTCAGGCCAGGCCTCTGCCTCACAGATGGGAATGTGTTTTATTCTCCCCAACTTGTTTTTATAGCCCTCTCCAGGCCGGGGGAGGAGGTGGGGCTGGACATTTTTTCAGAACTCCGCTTTATGTCTGTTTCCTTGGTATGGTTGCATTCTGTTTTCTATGAATGAGTCTGCATTCGATTAAAGAAACAACAGAAGCAGTTCCTGGCCCCTGTTTGCTCCCCTCTTCTGAGTGTAGATGTTCAGAGTGGGGCAGAGGAGGGGGCCTTCCATTTTCCAGGTCTTCTGGTCTACCTTTCTCTTTTCCGAGTCCCAGGCCCATGGGAACACCAGCTCTTTGATGCGTCTGTTTGTGCTGTCCTTTGAGTAGAGGTGTCGATTCAGTACATGTTTGAGAGGGGCCTGCTCCTTGCCAGGCACTGTGCTGGCGGAGACGGTGGAGAAGTGGAAAAGTCTGAGCCATGCCATCTCCCGAGATCCCCACTTCTTTCTGGCAAATGGCGGTGGCCTCTGCCCCCTGGTCCCCACGAGCCAGTCAGGTGGCTTCACCTCTGACCCGAGCCCCTCCCAGCCCGCAGCCTGCAGGCTCCCTGGCACGGGCATGCAGGGCAAGGCGCGGCGCTTCTCGGGGAACGAGGGGTTGATGGCTAGTGGGTAAGTGGGTGTAGGTGGCAGGCAGGCTCTGTGAGGGGGGAGTTTTGAAATGACCCTGGAAGGTTGATTCAGATTTCAACAGGCGAAGGAGGAAAAGATTTGGGGGGCAAGGGTGACTTTGGGACACAAGCAGAGGTCTATGGGCTGCTCTCCAGCTCATCACCAGCTCCTTTTCCTGATCTTCCCAGAAGCTGCCACTGGGGGCGCTGTAGCTCTAGGCGCCGCTAGGCTGTGCGGGTCACTGGGGCGGGGCTGGGAGGAGGAGCCATTCCTCTGGCTGGGCGGGGCGGAGGGCTAAGTCTGTAGTTAGGAGGCTGAGGGTGGGCCAGTCCTCCCCTGGTGGTGCTGGGTGTGTCTGCCGAGTGGGTGGGGTGTTTGCTCCTTCCCGCCAGGCTGCCAGCCATAGGATCATGGAGGGAGGTGGGGGGCATGTGCCTCAGGGCAGCCAGGGACCCCTCTGGAAGTCTCACCTTCTTTACCTCCTTTTATTCCTTCCTGGGTGAGGGAGGCAGGATGTTCCTGAAGGGAGGGAGGGTAGGTGTCTCGGCCAGGGTCAACTGAGCTGCTGCTGGACCTTTAAATCCCATCCCCAACCGAAGACTATGACCCCAGCCCAGCTGGTGTGGTCAGTGGTTGAGCATTAACTCAGGCACCAAGAGGTTGCTGGCTCAGTTCCCCTCAGGGCACATGCCCAGGTTGGCCTAGGTTGTGGGCCAGATCCCCAGGGGGGCATGCAGGAGGCGACCCATGATGTTCTCTCTCATCGATGTTTCTGTCTCTCCCTTTCCCTTCCTCTCTAAAAATCAATAAAGGGGAAAAAAATAACAATAATAAAGAATATGACCCCAAACCCATTCCAATGAAAAGGTCGTCTCAGCCTGAGCAGGGGGTACAGCTGAGAGGCGGATCTGACAGCCTCTCCAGCCCCACAGGCTGGCAGGTCTCACCATGTGGCTTGGTGAGATGCATTCCGAGCCTCAGTTTTCTCATCTGTGAAATGGGCATGGTGATCACGCTCTCACAGTGTACCTGTGTTAAATGAGAGCATTGGCAGTGTCTGTCATGTAGTGCGGCCTCCGTAAGGGTTACTTCCTATCTGGAGTGAAAAGCCCAGGAGGAGAGGGTGGCTGGTCTGTGCCCTAGAAACCTCAGGGACCGACCTTCCCTCCTCCCCTCAGCCCCTTTCTTCTCTCTGGCCAGACCCTCTTCGTTTTGCCCTCCCCTCAAACTAGGGCCAGGGAACAGCGAAGAAGGAGCAGCCCGAGTGCAGACCGCGGGGAAAGCCTCCGTGGTCCTGTCCATAAAAGGCTTTCCCACTGGCTCCCCACCGGCAGCACCGCCCCGCCCCGCCGCTCCATCCCCAAAGCACGCGGGGAATGCTTCAGGCAGCCCTGGCAGACTGCTCCAACTTGGTGTCTTTCCCCAAATATGGAGCCTGTGTGGAGTCGCTGGGGGGCCTGGGGGTGGGGAACGGAGCCCGTTTCCTCTAGCAGGGAGGGGCGGGGTGAGCCACGGGGGTGGGGGCTGACATCACCACAGCAGCAGGCCTTTAAACCCCCGGTCCAGCCAGCGCCCCGTCCTGTCTGCCCAAGTCCAGGCAGAGCTGTGCTTCCTGCAAGCCCTCGGAGCCCTGTGAGTGCCGCTGTCCAGGTCGGAGGGGGTGGGCTGGGACTCGGAGCAGTGAGCGCTGGGCAGGCAGGGCTGGGGTTGGGGTCCGATTCCTGGCTGGGGCAGCCCACCCTCCCAGCAGGTGCGCATTCCTGATCTCCAGGTGGGTGGGATGACGGAAGACCTGGCTAGTGGAGAGGGACGATGGCAGAGGCTGAGAACTGGGGCCAGAGGCTGTGCGATCAACTGATGTCTGTCGGGGTGCCCAAGAAGGGAGGCATCGGGAGAGCAGTGTGCCCCGCTGCAGGTCCCCAGGGCTGCCCTTGTACTCTGAAACGCAGGGGTGCAGGGATAAGTGAGAGCTGGGTACACAGCTCCTCCCCGACAGAACAGTACAGGCAGAGGAGTGGAGGGGGCACCGCGGGGGGCGGGGTGGGGGTGGGTGAGGCCTGGGTGGGTCAGGGCTGGGCAGGCCTGGGAGCCGGCCCTGGGGGGGGTCCTGCTGGCCCCCCTCAGTGGTTGCCATTCAGAAGGCAGAGAGCAAGGCAGCTCTTCTCCCTGGGATTTCATGAGCCACCTCTCCTGCCATCGCGGCCCCCCAGGAGCCCACTCCTAGGTGTGTTTAGTTCTCAGAGGGGGGACAATAGTCCCGGAGAGGCCCCTGGTCCCCTAGTTTTCCCAGTTTCCTGCTCGTAGGAGGTGCCCCCTGACCAACTGCAGCAGGACTTGGTTCCATCTCTCTGGGCAGGGGGTTCAAAGCAGAGGTTCGGCTTGTCCTGTCCAGCCTGCCCCAGGACCTTTGTCTAGTCCCCCAGGTGGGCTGCCCTGCAGCTGTCTCCCGCTCCCTCCCCCCTTCTCCCCAGCAGCCCAGTGAGACTGGGGAGGCCTTTCTCAGAGGACTTGGAGGGGTTCCTTGGAGCTCTCCGCTGTCAAAGGTCAAGGTCACCACGAGGGGGCAGGGTGGGGATGGAGGTGCACGCGTTTCATCCCCCACCTTCACCCCACCATTCTGATCAAAATCCAGTGTCCTCTCTAGATGGAGGGATTGCAACTTTGTATCCTTGCCCCTGTGAGCCTTGACACCTGGCTGTCTGCTCTGAGCCTCCTGAGACCGAAAGCTGGGGCTGCCTCTGTCCTGTCCTGTCCTCACACCCAGTGCAGTCTGGGGGTGGGGGGTACAGAGGGCAGGGTAGCCCTGGCCCGGGTTGTCCTGTACACCGAGAGGTCACAGGTTTAATTCCTGGTCAGGGCACATGTCCAGGTTGCAGGCTCGATCCCAGTAGGGGACATGCAGGAGACAGCCGATCAATGTTTCTGTCTCCCTCACCCTTTCTCTCTAAAGATTAATAAAAACGTATTTAAAAAAAAAGAAGAGGCAGGGCGTGGGGGATGTGTGAAGATGGTGTGGGCCTGGACCACAGGGTGCGTGCTGCCTGCCTAGGATGGGGTGAAGCCGAGATGGGGGGGGGGGGCAAGGGGCAGGGCGGGCTGCAATCACTGTCCCTGCTCACGGGCAGGTCTGACCACAGCGCTTCTCCCAGGGGCCCTTGGGTGATGGAGGAGCCTGGGAGAAACTAGAGGAGGTGGAGGATGGGAAGGGCTTGCTGTTTGCAGCCGAACAGAGCAGATCTCTCGTCTTGGGGTTCTTTGGCATCACTGACTTGGGGGGGCGGTGCTCAGAGAACCCTGTCCTCAGAGGTGGCCCGGCCCTCACTTCACAAATAAGGAAACACCCAGAGAGGAGTGGGTGGCCCAGTTGCTGGAATTCAGACGAATCCTCCATCTCGTGTTCTTTCTCCCTGTTGTCCTCGGCTTTGAGCAGGGTGCAGGCCGGGTGGGAAGAACAGTTACTGCTCTTTGCCCACAGTCGGGCTGGCACCCCCGGTCACTTCCAGGGCACGGCTCCGGGGCCCAAAACCTGGTGTTCTGCGCTGCCGAGGGCCGGGCAGCCTGGCAGGCAGGTGCAATGCTCTCGGGTGTTCACAGCCCTGGAGGTAGCAGACAGTGTGGGGCTGACCTGGGACCACCTGATGGTGCTGATGTTCACTGCCTCCCGCAGAGTGGGTGGGGAGAGGGTCTCCACTGACAAGCGGGGGGTGGGGGGACGTGCTGACTACTCCCATCAGACCATTCTCTCCTCCACCTCTGACCTCTGAGGCCCGGGGAGGGCTTGGCCGCATTCGGCACTTCGTCGGATGAAGTCTGGGCACCACCGCAGGTTGGCACCTGTGCCAGGTCAGGTTCCTCTTGGGCAGCCTAGCCACGTCTGCCCAGGTCCTACCTGCCTGGCCCTGCCCCACAGCCTTCCCCTTCCGCGCTGGCTCCTGAGCAGGTCCAGCCCCGGCCTGAGGGCAGCAGCTGCTGCTGGTCTGGACAGGCAGCTTCTTGGCTCCGGGATTTCCCTGGAGGACTCTGGCTTCTTGTACTCAAGCTACTCCGGTGGCGAGAACCCAGGCACGAGGGAAATTCCGTGGGTACATTTCTCTCTCTCATCTGGCTCCCCTGAGGAAATGCAACTTCTTGGCTACAGTTCTGGGCTTTGCTGTCTTTCTGGACCTTGCCAGGGGTTGATCCATTGGAGCGTCTTCAGCTGCAGGCCGGGGGCCGAGCTGCCCTGGCAAAGCTCCAGCTCGAGCTCCAGCTTCTGAGCCAGAGAATGAAGTTGGAGGAAACTCCATGAACCTGAGGCACGGCTAGTAAACCACCTCACACCCAGCTGGACAGACACCTGCTGGCTCCACTTGGGGGGCCATGTGGCCGCCTCCAGAAGGCCTACTCCAGTGCCTCTGTGGCCAATCTTAAAAAAGAAAGACTGCTCTGGATTGGAGGTTGTCAGGCTATGGCCCGTGGGCTCAATGCAGCCTGCCGTGTAAATTAATTTTTTTTTTTCCTTTTTTGGTACGTGCTCCTAGCAGGAACTGAACCCAGGACTCTCTGGTCCATAGGCCAACGCTCCAATCGCTGAGCCAAACCGGCCAGGACAAGTACATGAAGTTTCATTGGAATGAATCCATGTTCATTTGTCTGTGTATTATCTAAGCAGACACATGGCCTGCACAGCTCAGTACTGTCTGGTCAGTCACAAAAAGTTGCCTGAGCCTGCTCTTGGCCGCCAGAGACCTGAGCTCCTGCTCCTCTGGTGTCCAGGTTCGGGGAGGCCCCGGGACTGCACGGAGGAGCCTCCCAGACAGGCAGCGCCATGAAAACAAAGTCAGGGGCAAGGGCAGAAAGACAGACGCAGAAGGCGGTTAGGCCCCCGCAGAGCTAGACCCGCCTGGTACAAGCGAAAGCGGAGCTGTTTTCTGACCCCTGCCCTCTCCCTTTTCTGGCTGGTGCTGCTGAAGCCCTGCCCAGACATGGCCAACAAGGGACCGTCCTACGGCATGAGCCGTGAAGTGCAGTCGAAGATCGAGAAGAAGTACGACGAGGAGCTGGAGGAGCGGCTGGTGGAGTGGATCGTGGTGCAGTGTGGCCCCGACGTGGGCCGCCCAGACCGCGGCCGCCTGGGCTTCCAGGTCTGGCTGAAGAATGGTGTGGTGAGTGGGCCCTGGGGGGCTGGGCTGCGCCGCCTGCGGGGTCCCGCGTCAGGCCCCGGAGCCGAGCTCTGAGCGGTGCTGTGTGCCCGGCAGATTCTGAGCAAGCTGGTGAACAGCCTGTACCCTGACGGCTCCAAGCCAGTGAAGGTGCCCGAGAACCCGCCCTCCATGGTCTTCAAGCAGATGGAGCAGGTGGCACAGTTCCTGAAGGCAGCCGAGAGCTACGGGGTCACCAAGACGGACATGTTCCAGACTGTTGACCTCTTTGAAGGTACAGAGAGAGGAGGGGTGGGGTCCGGTGAGGGACAGGGAGGGCCGCAGCTTCGGGTCTGCATAGCAGCACTGGGACAGGCGGAGGGACGACCATGCACACTCCCCATGGGGCCCACGCAAGCCTCCTTTGGTTCTGATCCCCGTGCCCCTGGGCTGGCTGCTTTTCCGAGGGTGGGGGCAGGCCCTGCCTGGGGAGTCTGCCCAGCCCTGAGCGCGTCCACCCTCCCGTTCCTTCTCACAGGCAAAGACATGGCGGCGGTGCAGAGGACCCTGATGGCCCTGGGCAGCTTGGCAGTGACCAAGAACGACGGACACTACCGTGGAGATCCCAACTGGTTTATGAAGTGCGTGCCTACCCTCTGCGTGGGTCTCTGCATGGGCAGGGAGGTGGCCTGGGCTACCCCTCAGTGTGTGATTCTGGGAAGCAGATAGCGAGGAAGGAGTGAAGGTCCATGATGGGGGAAGGGGTCCCTAATACTTCTTGACTCCTCCCTGTCTGCCATCCTGTGCTCAGCCAGGGTCCCTAGCCTGAGGGCAATTGGGTGACCGCCTAGTGGAGCTGGGAAGGGGCAGGCCAGGGAGGGACAGCGAGCAGGAAGCGGCGGACAGCCCCGGTCCTGGTGAGTCCACCCTGTCCCCCTCTTCCAGGAAAGCCCAGGAGCATAAGAGGGAATTCACGGAGAGCCAGCTGCAGGAGGGGAAGCACGTCATCGGCCTGCAGATGGGCAGCAACAGAGGGGCCTCCCAGGCCGGCATGACGGGCTACGGGCGGCCTCGGCAGATCATCAGCTAGAGGGCCAGGGCCAGCCCCAGCCCGGCCTCCCCGCTCCCGGCTGCAGCCACCCCTCAGCCATGGTCCTTTTCAGCCCCAGCCCGGCTTCCCCACTCCCTGCGGCCACCCCTCCCCCACCTCCCCACTGTCCTTCCTCCAGCCCCCACCCAGCTCCCTGGCTCCCAGCAGAGGTGACTGTGCTTGGGCAGCCCCCACCCTTCAGTGACACCTTCCTCCAGAGCCCCGCTCCTGGGCCCTCCTCCCAGCCCCACCAGCTCTACTGTGTCCCCGCCTTGGGCTGAGCAGGGGGTGGGCTGGGGTGGGGCAAGTCCACTGTCCTCCTTGGTGGCAGATGCTCATTGAGGGAGACCCAGCCCAACCTCCCCCCATTTTTGCTGGAATATGTTGGGGGTTGAAATTCAACAAGGAAAAAAATATACATCAGTCTTTTCTCAGGCCTGGCTGGCAGAGTTTGATTTGCCCGTCACGTCAGCGTGGTTCTGGGAGGCAGGAGCAGGGCACAGGACCATCAGCACCGCCCAGCCGATGTCCCCTGAGAACCTGGCCCATGTCAGGGTCCCGGGGGCTCGGGTGCTTCCAGGGCAGGGCCGGGGAAGAGGCGAGTGCCTCCGGGGGAGGCGGGGGGAGGGTGCCCCGTTAGCAGAGGAATGAGAAGGGGAGCCGCAGGGTGGCCTGGAAGGGTTTTATTCTGGAAAAGCTGTGCAGGAAAAATTCAACATAAGTTGCGGTGAAAAGAGAAAACCAAGTCTTAAGTGTTAAAAAAAACAAATCAATCAACCAGCGCAGAAGAGGGGAGGCCGAAGATGGAAGGACCGCAGCTGGCCCTGCAGACAGCTGGCCTCCGGGGGCCTTTCCCTGAGCACTTGGAGGGGCGTGTTCCCGGGGCTGGGAGGCGTGGCCGGCACCTGTCAGTCCTGCAGCCGCCCCTGGCGAAGCAGCACAGCGGGGCCCTGCCCATCCCCAGCTTTGCCAGGAGCGTCATCCAGACCCTTCAGGGTGAAGGGTGGGGCTGAGGGTGCGGGGGTCTGGGGTGTGTCCGTGGTCGGCTTCTGCTTCGGGAGATGGAGGCCATGGCTGTCAGGGCGGTGCTGTGCGGAGGGCCGACCGCCTCACCAGCCCGGCCAGGGGCCAAGGCTTCCGCAGGAGGGTGAGGGGCAGGAGGGCCTGCTGTGCCGGGGCCTGGGGCCCTTCCCAGCCTCCACCGCTGAGCCCTCTTCCCAGCGATGCTGAGAGGCTCTGCTGGCCACGGCGCCTTCTGGCCCGCGCAGGGGGGTCCCCACGACCCACACCACGGGCTCGACGGAGAAAGGAGGAGGCCTGCCAACCCAGGGCAGGGGCCGATCTCCTGTCCAGGGCCTTCCCGCACAAGGCTGTTGGGTTCGAGAAGACCCTGTGGCTGCTGCCGCCCTGTCCTCTGCTCTGCTCACCCTGGGAAAGTCCTGCCCCCCTGAGCATAGTCAGAGGTGCGCTTTGGCCTCTGATTTCAGACGTGAGCATCTGAGCGTTCCCCCAGGGCTCCGGGGGCCCCCACACGGGAGGAAGCGCCTGTCCCACACTGTCCATCACACACTGGTCAGCACACCTGCTCCTCCTCCCCCGGGGGCAGGTCCGGGGCCAGGAGGCCGGCGGTGCTGGGAGGGCCTGTGTCCTCCGTCTCCACGCCCCCGGGAGGCTTGCTGCTGCAGAGCGGCATTGATTCCAGTTCTGTCCCCTCTTCTCTGGCTTTTCGGCTTCTTTGGGGCCAGTGGCAAGGTCTGCTCCTACCAGCTGGGCGAGAGGCCACACCCCTCTGGCTCAGGTACACCTCCAGCATGTAGTACATAGTGCAGAAGGTGGCAAAGCAGCCGGCCAGCACCAGGGTCTGGGGGAAGGGCACGGCCTAAGTGAGTGAGGGGCTGTCTCCCAAAGCCTGGACCCTCCTCAGCCCAGCACAGGAGCTGAGTCTCTCCCACTGGGGCCTCCTCTCCCTCCCCACCACTCACCCACAGAGAAAGGCCCTCTGAGTTAGCTGGCAGGGGGTGACCCCAGTTGTCCCACCCCGAGGATCCCCCAAGGGCGGACCCCGGACACGCCCAGGCTCCAGCGTGAGCCGAGCTCAGCTCGCACCTTGAGGGTGTTCGGGGAGATGGCGTAGCCGTCCTCCTCGGGGACCTTCAGCCCCGGAGGGCAGGGCAGAGTGAAGCCGTCGTGTAGGTACTTTCCGCTCATGGCATCTTCTAACAGTCTGTGCGGAAGGACAGGCGGGGTTGCCCGACTGCACTTGGTGCCACCTGCCCTCCCCCATCGTCCCCCTGGAGGCTGGAGAGAAGCCCCCAACAAAAGGGGGAGGAACACACTGTGGGTCCAGGCAGGTGGCAGGGTGGGTCCCTTCCCGTCCCCAGGAGTCACTTCCCTGACACGTGTCCACACCTACCTCTGCCTGTCTCTGATGTCCACTGGAGTCCACACGGAGCCATAGAGGGTCAGCTGCCACTGCCGGAGGACGCCGGCCGGGGCCGCCTCGTCACCTAGGGCAGCAGGGAGCAGGCATGAGCCAGGCCCTTCCGCTGCCAGGCAAACAGCCTGCCCGCCATGGAAAGGGACCGGCCCACAGCCTGCTGCCGTCCCCGTGTCCCGCCGGGCCCAGGGCTCTGTCAAGGGGCCCTCGGGGACGGAAGGTGCTGCAAGGTGACACTACGGAGCACAGAAGTTTTGCCTTTATGTCTTCCTTATTCTGAGGTTGTAGCTGGAATTTTGCGTGGGGGGAAATAAGTCCTCCTAGTAAGTTGAAGAAAGGTTTGGAAACCGTCCGCCCAGTGAACACCCGACCTGACCGGAAGGCGGGAGGGCTGGGTCCAGCTTTGGTCCCCCCTGAAACACCGCATCCCCCACACAAGCCCTCCACGCCTCCGGGGGCCCCGTTTCTCCCAGATCACGGTGCAACGAGCCCTGCCGCACCGGAGGGCTGGAGGGCGGCACGCGGGGAGGGCCAGGGACGGGCTCCAGGGGGTGTCTGTGCCCTCCCGAGGGGAATGGACCAGGCGGCCCCCAGGGACGGGCTCCAGGGGTGTCTGTGCCCTCCCGAGGGGAATGGACCAGGCGGCCCCCAGGGACGGGCTCCAGGGGTGTCTGTGCCCTCCCGAGGGGAATGGGCCAGGCGGCCCCCAGGGACGGGCTCCAGGGGTGTCTGTGCCCTCCCGAGGGGAATGGACCAGGCGGCCCCCAGGGACGGGCTCCAGGGGTGTCTGTGCCCTCCCGAGGGGAATGGACCAGGCGGCCCCCAGGGACGGGCTCCAGGGGTGTCTGTGCCCTCCCGAGGGGAATGGGCCAGGCGGCCCCCAGGGACGGGCTCCAGGGGTGTCTGTGCCCTCCTGAGGGGAATGGACCAGGCGGCCCCCAGGGACGGGCTCCAGGGGTGTCTGTGCCCTCCCGAGGGGAATGGGCCAGGCGGCCCCCAGGGACGGGCTCCAGGGGTGTCTGTGCCCTCCTGAGGGGAATGGACCAGGCGGCCCCCAGGGACGGGCTCCAGGGGTGTCTGTGCTCTCCCGAGGGGAATGGACCAGGCGGCCCCCAGGGACGGGAGGGAGCATAAATGGACGCCTCAGAGAGCAACGCCCACTGTTGGATGGGGCTTACTTCTCGGTCTGCCTGGTCCGATGGCAACCCCACGGGACAGTGACTGTGGGGCCTGAGACCCAGAGGGACCACAGTCACGAGGCCCGGCCCTCTGGAAGGCGGGCGGCTCACCTACGTCCCTGATGACAAGCCGGTAAGAGCCCCTGGCCCTTTCCCCCCAGCATCGCACGGTGGAGAAGGTCCAGCCATCGAAGCCGCTGGGGTCCCTGCGGAGAGAACAGAGGCCTGGAGGCGGGGAGCAGGGAGCTGGCCCCGCTGTGACAACAGGCTGCTCCTGCTACAGGAGCTGGCGGTCGTCTGGGCTACAGCCACCTGGGGTGCCAGGGGGTCCTCCTGCGCGGTCCCCTGCCCCGGCGGCTCCCAGGCGAGGGGCCAGGTCAGCGTGCGGCAGAGGAAGAGCCGTGGTGGGTGCCCGGCGGGGAGCCCACAGGCTAGGGTTCTGCTGCCCGCTCAGGCACTGACCGGCTCCGCGACTTGTGTCCTCATTTGTGAAAGGAGGTCACCAAGGCCACTCCGCACGTCCTCGTAAGGACTGCGCAGAGCACGGTCGGACGCTGTGCTCGGCACACTGAGCGCCCGAGCCTGCAGAGCGGCCTCCAGCCGCCGGCGGCAGCAGCGCCACAGTGACCCAGACAGCCAGCGCCCAATTCTCTCCTTGACAAGGTCGTGGCTGCAGAGAGCTCCGGAGACGGGGCAGGAATACGTACGAGTCCATGCTGCGGGGGGCGCCGATGAGGGACATCATGCCGCTGGGGCAGAAGAGCTTCAGTTCCAAGCTGCCGCGTCGCGGGTGGGTGATGGAGACAGTCACCGCCACGTGCTCCAGGGTCTTCAGCCCCGACATCTCCAGGTCCATCCTGCTGACTGTGGGAGGTCAGGCTGGGCGGCTGGAAACCAGCCCCACAAACACTGACGCCCTCACTTCTCCCAACATGCACAAAGGTACACGCTCACGGAAGTCACACAGGAAAACCCACGCAACTCTCCCGGGGCCTCATGTACACAGATGAGCGGAGACTGCTTTCCCGCCGCTTACAGTCTAGTTTAGAGTCTAGTCGGGCAGAAAACACACACTGGAGACACCACGTAAGAACCAAACAGAGAACTTCAGCTGTTCATTCACCCAAAACGTAATTTACGGTGGACCTCCTGCAGTTCGGGCCCTGCCCTCGGCGCCAGGGATGGAGGGGTGGACACGGTCTCTGCCTTCCACCGCGAGTGGACAGCGCGTGGCACGAGGCATCCGTAACCAGGCGGGCGCACAGCTGAGTGGACGGGTCAGGCGCCTGGCAGTGACGGGACAAGGGAGAGGCTGCGCGGCAGAGGGTCTTCCAGAAGGGAAACGGCGGGTGCCGAGGCAGAGGTGGAAATGAACAAGCTTTGGACAGAATTAATAAAAAACTACTGAGGTGAATAAACTTCAAGGAAATTATGCCGAAGGAAAAAGCCAGAATGAAAAGGCTCTGTCGTGCGTGATTCCATTGATGTGATATTCACGTACAACATAACTGGAGATGGAGCGCAGGTGTTAGGGCGGGTCAGAGGGGACAGCGCGGCCGCAGAGGGTGACGCGGAGTATGGACGGCGGTTCTGTGCTGGCTCTGGGCTGTGGGAGTGGCTACACAAGGCGACACATGACAAAACGGCGCACACGCACACTGGTGAAACCCACGTAAGGCGTACGCTCTCTGGATTGTACCAATGTTACTGTCTTAGTTTTGATACTGTACTATAATTAATCAAGCATTAACATAAGAAGAAGGGTACCTGGAATGTCCCTGAACACTTCTTTGCAACCTCCTATAAATCTAAAATTATTTCAAAACAAAAAGTTTAAAAGAAACAGAAGCTACTGCCCTGGCTGGTTTAGCTCAGCAGTTAAGGGTGTTGGCCTTTGAACTAAAGGGTTGAGGGTTTGATTCCCGGTCAAGGGCACGTACCTTGGTTGCAGGTTCAATCCCTGGCCCAAGTCACGGTCGTGCAGGAGGCAAGCACTCAATGTGTCGCTGTCACATTGATGTTTTGCTCTCTCCCCCTCACTCCCTTCCACTCTATCTTAAAAAAAAAAAAAAAAAATCAATGAAAAAGTATCCTTGGGTGAGGATAATTTAAAAAAAATAATAAATTCTATTTTTTTTTAAAAAGAAGCTACTGAAGCTGAATACTCAATTGGGAGATATGTAGAAATGGGGTTGCAATGAGAAAGACTTCTCCCCAGAGCCCATCCCCCCACTAACTCATCTAACCAGGCGGACAGCAGCTTCTGAATGAGGAGCCTCAGAGAGGGGCTGAGAGTTGGGGCAGGAAACCTGAGCTGGGAAGGGCTTTCAAACTTTATTTTATTTTGCCTATTCTCGACATTTTTGCATTTATCTTCAGACAGAGCGGGAGGGGAAGAGGGAGAGAAACATCCATGTGAGAGAGACACACAGAGTGGTTACCACCCACGTGACTCCAACCTGGGCCGGGGACAACTGCAATCGAGGTACATGCTGTTAGCGGGAACCGAACCCGGGACTCTCCGGTCCGCAGGCCAATGCTCTAACTGCTGAGCCAAACCAGCCAGGGCTCAAAACTGATTTTAAACAAGCAACCAAGAGCTATTCTAGATTACTGAACAAGAGTGTAGTTCTTGGTTTTTCAGTGCCGAAAGGAGGTTACTCTGAGCAGCTCTGGGTAGGCGAACTGGAGGGGAAGGAAGAGTCAGGTGCAGGCGGCCAGCCCCAAGCTGCGGCCTCCTGGGGCGGAGGCGGGTCAGCACAGATGGCTAGGAGTGCGCGAGCCTTTCTGTCCTTCTCAACCTCGCCTGCTGACCTGCCACTGGGTCCCCTCACTGCATTCATGGAAGAGCGCCACCCCCTTATCCACCATGACACCATGTGCGTGGGGACTACCTGTTTGATGTCCTAACTTCATTTTTTTTTACCTCCTCAGTTCCAAAGAACGTTCGCCATCCCATGCCAACACCCACTTCCGTGAGCAGACCCTGGTCCCTGTCATTACCTGGGGCTCCCCCACTTTTGAATGCTGTAGTAACTTTCATTATATAAGCAACACAAATTAACTGAAGACAAATCAGAAAAGTAGTTGAGCAAATCTTAAAACAAAAAGCTCCCACAACCCTTGGTCAACACGTCGGTGAACATGTATGCAGACCTCTGTCCGTCTGTCCGTGTGTGCACGGGTGTAAGCTCTTCAAAGCCAATGTCCCACCTTCTCTGAAAGCAACGTCCTGTCCCTCCACCCTCTCCCCTGCCTCCTTGGCCCTTCGAGAAACCCACCAAGCCCCTCTGCTGACCAGCCGAGACCCCCCCAGCTCAGCCCCCCAGCCTCCAGGTGCGCAGGCTCCCTCTGCCTTCCTCCTCTCCCAGCAACCGCCCGGCAGAAGTCCAGAACTGCCCAGCTCGGGGATGCACTGCCTTGGTTCATCTTCCTGCTGACATCTTTCCTACCACAAATGAAATACAGACACAGCTCTTCCCCTCCAGCCCCGTGTTAAGGGTGGTCTCTGGAGCGGCCCAGCCCGGGCGCATCTCAGCTCTGCCCTTTACTAATCATGAGAACCGGACCGGTTTCCTACTGTAAACGGGGGTAGTGGCAGTGCCTACTTCAGAGAGCTGACAAATTAGTTCATATGCATAAAGTGATCGGAGCAGTACCCAGGAAATGTTAAGGCTGTAAGTGTCAGGTATTATTCCTTTGCTTTGCTGTTAAAACTTCCTGAGAAAGACGTCTGTGTTCACTGGCTCTCCCTCACCCTCCCAGACCTCCTTACCATGATTACTGCTTTTTAAACCCTCTGGGGGTGGCAGCAAGCTGGTTCTGGGCTCGCATGTAGAGCAGTCCCGCACCCTGCTCCTGTCCGCCTGTCACCCGCTCCCGCAAGGAAGCACTTTGCATGGCTCCACCCTCATGTTTCTAAGTAATAAGCATGTATGGCTATTTCATGCTTATCAATAAAGGCATTCTTTTTTTTTTCTTATCCTCACCCGAGGACATTTTTCCAGTTTTTGTTCAGATAGAGTGGGAGGGAGAGAGAGAAACATTGATGCGAAAGGGACACATCAAGTGGCTGCCACCTGCACAACCAACCAGGGCCGGGGCCAAACCGCAACCGAGGCACGCGCCCTTAGCGGGAACCGAACCTGGTCTCTCTGGACCGGAGGCCGACGCTCTAACCGCTGGGCCAAACCGGCCAGGGCAATAAAGGCATTCTTTATCGACTTTTGATTATAGCAGATAAGGGTTTGATACCAAAGTCGCCTCTTCTCCTTACCTTCTCAAAATAACGACATCACAAGTCCTGGTTAATTGCTGTCTCGTTTACCATACGACGGCCTTACAAATGCACGGGCCTAAGCAAGCAGTGTGCGATGATCCCGTTTCATTTCCTGAACAGATGGCTGTCTTCCTCTCTAGGGTTAATAACTGCTGGGTTTCGGTGAACTTAAATTCACGTCCCTACCCCTACTTCTTGCTAAACTTCACAGAAGAACCACTTAGCTTCTCTGGATACTCCCCCTCAAAGGCACAGGAAGTCGGGCTCCCTCCGTGCCCTTTTCCCACCCGAGGTCTGTCTGGAACCTTCTGTGGGTTCCATCTGCCACATGCTGCTGGGTCGGGCCGTCCTCTACCTCCCACTTGGGCTTCGCTTCCTCTGCTCCCCAATTCCTTCCTCCCCCCACCTGCTTGGCTTCCTTCTGTCCAGCTCTTCTCTTGGCTGCTCTTCGCTGCAGGGAGCACACCTTCTAGCAGTTTCCAGCAAACGGGAAGACGTGCACATCTGAGAACGCCCTTCCCCGCCTTCCCAGATGATGATGAGTTAGGCTGCTTTATCAACTGAAAGTGACTTTTCTCGGAATTTGGGAGGCGTCTGAAGCACTTCTTCAAATGGCCAGCGGTCCCGTTATCTCCGAGACCAGCCGGAAGCTCTCACCATGGGCGGCGCGTTCCTTGGTGGGCTCCCTTCAAGTGAGCGACTGGCCCGGGACAGGCTGCTTCCCGGAGGGCCCTGTGGGGTCTTCTGATGAGGTCACTGCACATCCCCGGAGCAGTCTGTCCCCGGGCTGCCAGGGTTCTGGGGTGGACGGGAAGGGTCTCCTCTCTACATACTTCAATTCTGCTGTACCTGGGGTCCCTGGCTCTGGAGAATAAACTTCCCAGCTCCCGCCCAGACAAGGAAGGCGCCACCTCCTGGCTGCTAAGCACGGGAGAAGGTCCTTGGAGCCCTGCTCTTGATTGGTCCCTGTTTCCAGCCTCACACCTCGTCTGTCCTCTGCAGCACCCAGGCCTCGTCCTTGTCCTTCCTGCACCGTGGGGCTCTGTGGCGTGAACGGGCGTGTTTCTTAGTGTCGCCCTTGCAGGCCTTTGCAATGCAATTCTTAGCCCTGCTCACTTCTCCGTTTCCATCTTCCAAAAAATGTGACGAAATATCTCGTTTGCTGGGGTCCCCTCTCATTGTCTTTGTCCTTGTGCTTATACCATTTTTATTCCTTTATTATTTTGGTGAGGTTTTGGGAGAAAGCAGAGACAAAAGCATGTGTTCGATTTGCCATATTTACCCAGAAACCTCCTGTCCCAATTAATTATTCAACCAACTGCCATCTAGCTTGTGCCCGGATGACTACGCTGAAAGCAGTCTCCTCAATGCCATCGGTGGCTTGAGAGACTGGGGACACCCTTCAGCCCATCCCCTTGCCCTCCTCGTCGTCACTGTCCCCATACGTAATACTCTCCTCCGGACTACTGTCCTCGGAGGCTCCTTCCCTGTGTCCACTTCTTCAGCACTAGGAGTCCGGGTCCTCTTTCACCTCATCTACCCCCCAGCCCTGGTCACCGTATCCTTTCCCAGACCCTAAATCATT